AGAATATCGTTTTAAAAAGTCAATGTGACATCTCGGACTTGTATTCGGGTCGGATACGGGTTGGGGTGTTACACCTAAAGAATAGTTTACCCATTTTTATGTGAAGCTGAAAACTTTTCCCCATTTTATATCAGATTCACATGAACCAAACCCAAAATTATCTTACAAAATACTTTTCTCCTTCTTCATTCTCCTTCCTTCTAGCATTTTCCATTTCCCTTTCTTTCAAGAGCTAAGATTCAAACAATCCAATCTTAGTTAACTTGAGCCAAGGTAAGCTTATGAATCTCTATTCTTCAAACTTTAATTTATGTCCTATTTTGCAAGTTTTCCTCTATGATTTCCAAAATGGGTTTTTGGGAGGTTTAATAAATCTAAGGATTCTAGGTAATTTTTGTTGGATTTAGGTTATTGGAAGTATTATAATCCTTATTTTCATTACATAATTATTTAGAAGTTTCTTTTTTTTTTATCTTGATTAGTGAAATAAGTGGGTGAAGCCTCCAAGACAAAGAGAAAGGAAAAAGCTTCCATTAGGTGAGTTGGAATTTTACTTTAGCCTATAAATCAAGGTATCCACACTTACAACTTCTCTATACTCTTTGTGGGTCATGTTAAATGTAATGAATAGCATGAAGGTAAGAAATAAGCCTATTGAGCATATCAATGGTAGATTTTATGTTTTAGAATTCTAAGCCTGGTATAAGCTTTATTTATTCCCTTTTTATGACATATAAGACTTTAAGCATGATTGGGGACCTCACAATGGTCTTTGGGAGTGATATATAGCATTTTGGTGCTTGTTTTTAAGTCTTTCGCAGGTCAAGTATTGATACTATTAGGTTAGTATCGTTACTTGTTCTTTGTTTCTGGGAAAAATGTTTTTTTTCTGGGCAGAAGTATCGATACTCTTTCAAGAGTATCAAAACTTTGAGTCATAGTTTTGAAACTCCAAGAAAGTATCGAAACTAGGCAGAACATAATGTTTAAAAGTATCGGTACTTATATAAAGTATCAAAACTTTTACAGAAGTATCGATACTCTTGGGCTAGTATCGATACTTTCAGTATGTTTTGGGCAAAAATGATTGTTTTTAAGGGAATTGGACCCGAGGTACCCCAATACTTCAATATATATCAAATAAGACTACAAGTGAGAATATTTATTAATTCAAACATAGAAACCGAATAATTAGGATGACATAAAACTATCATTTGTTGATGCTCAGGAAATAATTTTGACACCCGAGTTCCTCTAGTTTAAGGTGTCGAAAGTATAGATGCAGTCCGAATATCCATAGGTAGGGTGCAAGCCCCTTAAAACTAACTAGTTAGGGCGCAAGATCTAACACTCACAAACAGTGGACTAGTTGGGGGTGTGGTGTTCAATGTAGTGATTTTCAGGGCTATATCCTCGGTAGGCTAGAGGGGTTAGTGAACTCCGAGATGCATAAATCCCCCCAGTCATACCATGATGTCTATCACAACGTAAAAAGTGAGTATCACAAGGATACTCACTAATACCACATTGTTTACAGTTATCAAAGCATGTTGTGAATGTATTTCTGTTAATATATTTTAGTTGTTAGTGTGACACTGAACTAGTTAGTTCAGCGTTTGAAATTTGTTTTCTTACGTAGATTAGGTTAAAGTCAGTAGAGGAACCTTTTGACTAGAATAAATCCAGACTAAACAACATAACTTAATACATCTCAAATTTCTGGAGGACATATATATTCAAAGCTATATTTTGTAAATTTGAGTAGTAAATTGTTTTAAATATTTGGTTTGTATATTTTGATTTATTTTGTAATTGTGGGAGCTCCCGACCATAAATTATTATATATGGATTTTTTTATTTTATTTTATTGCAAATGTTTACTTTAAATTTAAAGTGAGTACAATAAAGAAAATTTGTTGGTTAGCTATTATTGTGGTTTCGTGTGACACTCTCATTGATCGACTGAGTATTGTACTGGTATAGAATGTTATAATTTCATTAAAATAAATAAGTAAAAATGGAAAATTCCTATTAATGTGAAGAAATCCAGTTATTTCCCTGTTGTCATCACCGGCAAAACAAACAGAAAAAAAGATATAAGCAAATTTCTTGCCCGTGATTTGACGCCGCAGATTAAAGCTATTAGAGGAGTTGCCATTGAGTCTCTCCTTTACCGACCTTTTCCCAGCACCCTCCTCTGCTCGATCAACATACATATCTATCTAATAAAACCCAAACCCTAACAATTATCTTTAAAAATCACGAAGAAAAAAAAATAGAGCCGGTAGACTTCGAAAGATTTGCCTTCTTGAGGACCTTTCAATTTTTTTTAATTCTAGCTAGTTTGAGGGTGAAAACAAAGATTAAAATGAAAAAACCCTAGCCCCAAATTTGTATTAAATGTAAAGATTTATTTTTTACAAGCATGATTCCCTTTCGCTTGTAGATTGGAGAAAGCCCTGGAGCTTTCGAATTTTGATTTTTGAGAGATCAATGTGAAGCGAACCGTTGGAGAATCATTTGTATATAAAATAATAGACCGGCTTACAGCACCGACTTAGGCCATCTCCAGCCCTCATCTCTACTCTACAACATATTTATCTCTACTCTAAAGATGAAACAATAATTCATCTCAAGTGCTGTCTCTACATTACCACCAACTCTACTTTATTTACAATATTTTACTATTATAATATTGATTTTACAAATATAAAATAAAACATATACATTTCTAAAAAATATAAAGATAAAAAACATAAATAAAACATTCATAAATAACATTATGAAAATACAAATAATTAAGAAAATTACAATTAATAATAATAATGCAAAAATTATAAGTTACCTAATTATTTATTTTAATTATCCGAATTAGAATATTCATTCCACAAATACTCAATTAGTGCATTTCGTAGAGCAAAATTAATATGTTTATTCATTTAATTTCAATATATTTTTATCTATCTTATAATTTAATCATAAAACAAAAACTAAAAATCATAAAAAAATAATAATAATATTTTATTGTAGCGTTGCTACATTTGGCGCAGCACTGGAGTAATAAAAGTAGAGAAAATCTCCACTCCAACGCAGCGCGGGAGATGCTCTTATGTGTTGTGCATGATGAAGCAAAACGCACCTTTTAGTTTAACTAAAGAAAATAGAGGATGTAATGGGTAAATTCCCCCTCATGGACTTCGTTAAATAATATATTATTTTATAATGATCTTTATGTTTACCAAATCCAGTGTAACTTTACTTAAGTTATTACATTTACTATAACACATCGATTATTATATTACGCCATTTAAACACGTTGCATTAATGGTCAACAACTTATAAAATAAAGATTTAATATTTAAACTATACTTTAAAATATGATTTGGCATCTAAATAATTTTTTTTAATAATATTTAAATTATACTTCAAAATATAATTTGATACCTAAATAATTATTTTTGTTAATAATCGATGTATAATATTTTTAGGTGTTTATAATTTTTTTCTATTACACTTTTAGGTGTTCTATTGTTATAATTTTATTTTTTAATAATAATTTTTTTTAAAAATAAAAATAAAAAAATAAACCTCTTGTCGTCCCTTTTCCTCCCATCCCCCACCGTCGACGGTGAAAGATCACCACTAGTCAGTTTTGTTCAGATTATGACGAAGAATTCAACGGTTGCAGTCGTGTAGCGTATGAACAATTGTAGTTATCGAAATCACTGAAAAACATCAACAAAAAACCTAGGGATTCAACAACCATTCGTGGCGTTTTTCACGATGATCAAAACAGTTTCACGGTGAGTGGGGGTTGGGTTTTAGTCGTGACGTTAAGACGGTTCTGATGATGTCAACACTGACGGCCACATACCGACGGTGACTGATTGACTGCGAAAAAAAATGTAAAATTTATTTTTTTTAAAAATTATAATATTAAGTTTTTCTAAAATAAAATATTTTTGAGTCAGATAACGACTAAATTTAACGGTTGTTACGGTCCAGGCATCTAAAAGTGTAACGTTAGAAAAATTAAGCACTTATTGTTAAAAAAAAAATTCTTTAAACACCTAATTATATTTTGAGATATAATTTAAGCACTTAAATAGTTAGAAATTTTTAGTGGACATTTTCCCGAAGTTATGGGTTTAATCTCTACTCTTAAATTAAAATTGATAAAAAGAACATGTTACATTAATGTAATTTATCTTGATATTTATTAAATTAAATAAATATAAATATTAAAATAATCTTCAAACAATATAAACTATAAAATTACAAGTACACATAATACAAATTTAAATTTAATATAAGCTCGTATTATTCTCAATACTTTAATTTTACTACTAAACCAGTCATGTGAATTAGATCGATGATGATTTGGAGATGAAGTTTAAAGATTGTTTATTTTAATAATTAACAATAAATTAATTTGTAAAAAATATTATAAATTAATAAATTAACATAAAGTTTTAATTTAATGAAATAAACACTTCATTTTAAAAAAATCAAATTATAAATAAATGATTTTATATTTAAAGATAATCTCTAATTAATTTATTATTGATTTTTTTACTAACTTGGTTTTAAACGATAAAAAAACCAAATAAAAAATAAATTTGAATGTTGAAATGCAATCAAACGAAATAATAAAATAAACACTGAATTAAAATGTAAATAATAAATTTAACTTTAATATCTGGTAAATTTAGCGGCAAATTTCAATTTCTGGTAAATTTGTGACCCTAAAATTATATATATAAAGGGAAAATATCACTTCGATCTCGCCGTCTTGGGTTCGAACCTGGAAACCCTAAACAAAGGAAAGGAGAAGCTTCCTGTGTTTCAAGATAAATTAAAATAAAATCAAAGGTGACGATTTTGGATTTTCCCTCCACTTTCAAGTGTCGTTTTCTTTATTACAAAAAACAAGCTGCGGTTGCTGCTCTGCTGTTGTTGTTTTTCCTTTTTTTTTATTAACCTCTTTGTCCGAGTATCTCTAGTCTAAAGTTTCTTAGATACTATAGAGTTCAGAATTTGAATCTCTGGGTTTCTTTTGTTTCTCTTTGGATTGGGATCCTCGTGTTTAACTTCACCGTTTGATCTGGAGTGCGTGTACCTTTACAGGCTTGATTCATCAAACAGAACCGAGATCTCTCAGTCGTAGTATCGCCAGCTGGTATGTTTGGGTCATGGAATATTTGAGGGAAAATGTATGAAGTTCTTGGGTTTATTTACTTAATTATTCGTTGCTTTTGGTAAATTGGGAAAAAGTTGGAGCTGATTAAGTAAAATTGTTTAGAAAGATTTCTAACTTTTAATTTGTTAACGGGTTGTCATTACTCATTATTGAAAGTGATGTTCCTAATTACATTTATTTTGAAGCAAATTACACTGTTGATTGTGAATTAGAGTTAGTGCTCAAACAACTTTGCGTTATAGTTAAGGCACCAAATTGGATTTTTTATACGTTAATGTACCAAATATATCATTGAGTTATAGTTTGGATACTGTATGTCTTATATTTCTTATTATCAATTGTTGAGCATTATATGTCTTATATTTGAGTGATTGACGAAATATGTGTTAGGATTGTAGTGAAAAAAATTGAAAAATGGAAGAGCCCCCGAATGATGGTCCAGGAGCTAAGGTCTCTGTATTTGATGATTCGATCGATAATCATTTTAGGGCAATGGATACAATTTCTAAGATTTGTGAAGAGCCCAAGAATGATGATCTTGATGAAACTGATATCCAGAGATTTTCTTCTTCAATCACTTTCTTAAGGTAAATTTATGTTTTTCTTAAGGAAAAAAAGAATCTAGCATTGATTGGTTGTCTTTTCTGATATAAGTCTGATTGTTTCTTTTGATGTTAGCTTTATCAGTGTAATAAAGAAGTTTATGTTCCTAATGTACCATTGAACATGCCTTTAGGGAATGGAGGCATTTTAACTATGAACCGAGGGTCATTAGGTTTGCTAACGAGAAAGATGTCTTTGGTGGCGTAGAGTTGCCCCAGTTTTCATCATCAACCGTTTCCAAGGTGAAAGCATTTTTTTTCCGGGCCTTCCACTTGGAGGAATCCTCAATTACAGTAGAAAATCTTATGGAATAGTTATTACTTATTATAACATACTATTCTGATAACACTTTTTTTGGCTTATGGAACCAGCAGGACGGAGTATATGAAAGCAATGCATCTGCAGAATTCTGGTTAGATTGGATTTTTGTTTGACTGATAATAGTTCCGAATGTTATTTGGTTTACTTTACGTGGGAAAAGGATTGTCTAGTTTCGGTTTGGAAAAGCTCATAGTTTTATTCTTGACCAGCATAAATGCAAATTACTAGACTATAAAACTTCTTCCGTTCTACAGGATTCCTCTCTCTCTCTCTCTCTCTCTAAATAAAATAAACCCTTATGAACTTGTTACAGATGGTGTGTGCTCTTGTTATTTGTTAATCTGTGATGCATATGAATGTTTTACGATATAAACTTGGATGTTATTGTTCCTCTTATATAAGATCTCTGTATAGGCTACCTTATTTTATTTGTGAAAGTTATTTAGAGTTGAAGCCTGTCCTACAACACCGCTGCTAAATGGTATGTCATATACATTTATTGAGTAACATGATTAAACTACAATCTTCTTTCAGCAAGGACTTCTTGATGTATGTTGGAGGGTCTGTTTGGGCATTGGATTGGTGTCCTCGAGTTCATCAGAATCCAAATAATCTTGTTAAATGTGAGGTACTTCCTTTCCTTCTCTCCTCTTAAGGAAACTTTTCATTTGTTTATTTATTTAATCTTCTGGATTTTAGTTTCAATTTGAATTTTGCATTAAAATTCCTCTCTGTCAGGCTTCACATTATTCTAGCCCAAATCAAGTTCTATTTGGATATTTCAAATAAAAGAGACAAAGCCTAGATTGTTCTCAAATAACAATTTAAAATTTTACCGCATGCTTTATTAAGTAGTCTTAATAATAATTATCACTGTCTTATTGCTGCAATATTGTGAGATCATCCTTGTTGTGACATATTTTGTTTGCCTTCTTTCCCAGTTTATTGCTATTGCCGCTCATCCTCCTGAATCTTATTATCATAAGCTGGGTGCCCCACTTATTGGTAGAGGCATGATTCAAATATGGTGTGTGCTAAATGATAGGGTAAATGAGGAAGAAGCTCCTCTGTCAGAGAAAAAGCCAAAACGGAAATATCAAATAACAGAAGCCTTGGACGAGAGCTTGCCAAAGAAGCCTAGAGGACGACCTAGGAAAGAGCAAATAGATGAAGCTCAGCCTGATAAGGTTAAGAGGCTACAAGGCAGACCTAGAATTAAATCAATTACTGAATCTCCTGGCACTGATCCGCATGTGCAGCCTCTAGCTGTTCAGTACCCAGAAGATTCCATGCAGCTTGTTTGTGTGGACGATGTTCCTGGAAATACAAAAGAAAATGTGCCAGTTAAGAATCATCGTAAAAAACAAAAAGGTCTTAAAAAGGCAGCATCTACATCTGTTGAAAGCCCTAAAACTTCTAGGAAGAGTGTAAAATCGAAAAGTAAGACACAGGAAAAAACCAACAGTGATGCTAAAATTCAAAATGAAGATTCAGAATCTTTTTCTGCAATAAACCAACAAATTCATCCTAACTCCGGGCAAGATGCTACTGCACCAGATAATGTTTTAGGTTCTAATTCATTCAAGGTCAGCCCGAGTTCTCCTTCAATTCCAGGGGATGTTGCACTGCCAAGAGCTGTCCTCTGCTTAGCTCACAACGGAAAAGTTGCTTGGGATGTAAAATGGCAGCCATATCATACAAATGATTCTAAATGCAACCAACGGATGGGCTATCTGGCTGTCTTACTAGGAAATGGATCTTTGGAAGTGTAAGATTTTCTATTTAAAAATTTTCTTTGTAATTTTTCTGCCTATCATTGTTTAGGACTGAGTTATTAAAGAATGAGCATCATTATCTTATACAACACTAATAGAAAACATCTCTTTTAGGGGGTTGTTCTTTTCCTTGTCTTATTTAACAGATTAAGCTAGCTTCATAATTTGACATCCATAAGCATTGTAACTAACAACCCTGTTTGTGGATTCTTTTCAGTCCTAGAAACAGATTGGACTGGAGAAATGTCCAGAGAACTATATGTTGATATTTATTGTATTTCAAGGTTTCAAAATAAGGAAATATAAGAATAATTCTAATAGTAATACTCATTGTAATATAAAACCCTGAAGTATATTGTAGTAAGTCAAATAGAATGTTATGGAATAGTTAAATTAAATTCTGCAATATTGGAAATATATTGGGTGCATAATATGTATAAAATGAAAGTGGGGCAGAAGGTGTTTGTCAAATGCTTGAAATGTAGAAATTAGAAGTATCTAAGTAAGCATTAAAATTAGACTGATGTATCATTTAGAAGCCTCCTTTTCCCCTAATCTATTTTGAATCTTAGCTTTACATGTCAGCTCCCCTGTTTCTTGTTTTAAATCAGTTCCATGTCATCCCATTTTCATGAGGTTATAGCAATTAGTTGATTATATGTTTCACTTAGATTTATCACTGACAATTTCTGTTGTTTCTGTCTCCTGATTCCACCAATGTGTTGCAGGTGGGAAGTTCCTCTTCCTAATATGATAAAAAATATTTATTCATCTTCGCCTAAGCAGGGTACTGACCCTCGCTTTGTAAAACTGGAGCCGGTTTTCAAGTGCTCAAAGTTGAAATGTGGTGATATACAAAGGTAATTTGGAAATCTATAATTTTCCCTGTTAAACTATTCTATAGATATGTGTCTATGTGCACTACTTCTCTAACATTACAGTTATTTAGAATTTCTAAAACATGTTGGAACAAAAGATTTATTATGATGATAAATAGGGTTGTTTTTTTGGCATGCATACAAAGAAAATTGGCGGGGGGCATGTGGTCTATTAACCAGTATGGATACCTATTTAGACACAGGCAATTATAACGCTATATGCACTGCAGCATGGCTTGGGTGCACTACATCTGCATTACCCATTCCCATTGACTGCTCCCCTTAGTAGAATTATAGAATCCTCTGCATGTGGAATATGGGAGATTTTTTCCGTTAGAAAAGGAAAACTAAAGATCAAAATTTTTCATAAACTGCTGTTGTATATTGTACTTCTCAGACTTTATTGTTAGACTAATATTTTATTAGAGCTTCCTTGATTATATGGAGAACATTGTAAAATAAAATAAGAAGTATTCACTTTACAACCTTATTTTGTGTTCGATTCTACTTCATTTATCTCTAATTCAGAGGCGCCTATCTATTGTACAGCATCCCTCAAACAGTTGAGTGGTCAACATCACCTCCACATGATTACTTACTAGCTGGATGCCATGATGGAATGGTATAATGTTAGTTTTCTGTTTTATATACTTTTTCTTATAAATGATTTCACTTGTATATAGTAGTTTTGACTCTTTAGAGAATCAATATCATGCCTTTGAATAAAAGGGCATTAGAACTTTTCTAATTTGTTTACAAATTTTCTGTATAATCAATATAACTTTTCCTGGGAATATTTGTAAAATAAGTTTCTCCTGCCTTAATATGTCAATAGAACATTTGCTGGTTTGTTTAGATTTTTCCTATTATTACCACTTCAATGACTAAGATTATCATTTACTAGTAATTTTGGTTTCTCTGGCATCAAAACTAACATAGTTAATATCAGGTGGCTTTGTGGAAATTCTCTGCAAGTGGTTCACCTAAAATTAATGGTAATACATTAGTAAAAGAATTTGGTTATTGATGTGGTTTTAATAAATGCTTTGATTGTTGGCATCAAAGTACTATTTGAATTTTATTTTGCACTTTGTAATTATGCAGATACGAGACCTCTGCTTTGTTTTAGTGCAGATACAGTTCCAATTAGATCAGTTGCATGGGCCCCATCAAGGTCAGTGATGTCTGCTGTGTTCCTTTTGCAGACTAAATTTTTTTTTTTGATAAGAATGGAAGGCCTCATTAAAACCCCCCCCTCTTGATTAATGGAACTTGCTCCTTAATCAGCGGAAGGAGAAAAAGAGTGCCTTAGAACTTTTATTAATGAAGAACAAATACATAAGATTTAACAATCACACTAAAATACATTACATAAAACTTAACCACTCCTCCTGGCAGAACAAACTAGTCACTGGACCATAAAAACCACATTATAAACCTTACAATCAACCTATCCCTTTCTTTGCTAAACTGTCCGCCTCCCCATTGCACGTCCTTGGAATCAACCTCACTGAATGAACCTTGCCAGTAATAAGAGTCGAAATCTGATAAACTAGAGGAGAGAAGAAGACAGGAGCCAAAACCGGGGACTGAATCCACTCCACTGCAGATGAACAATCACTCTCAACGATCAACCTACCACTAGATTCCCAACTAGATGATAAAAAAATTTCAATGCCTCTTTTAATAGCCTTTAATTCAGCAAGTGGAGGAGTTCCTACGCCAACATTCTCTGAAAAAGTCAAAAGGGTGCAACCATTCCAATCTCTTAATATACCTCCAATTCCTCCACCCGAACCATCTAGTCTGACAGCTCCATCGACATTCAATTTAAGATAATCAACCGGAGGGGGAATCCACCTAAATACATCACAAACTTTGTCTTTAAAAGGTGTAACTCCATCTGCCAGAAATGGATTACCCATCAGCACATCCTCATGAATGGTAATCTTAGGGAATTTGGCTAGGAACAATTTAGAAAGCCTGAATCTAACAATGAAGAACAAAGACAATCTGTCAAGAGGATAACCTTCAAATACCATAGCATTCCTAACTTTCCAAATTGACCAAAAGATGACTCCCGGAATAAACTTCCAAATTGTCGAGTTCACCCTCAACTCACCCCAGGAAATAAGAATAGAAGGAGGGTCTTGGGGTAAAACCAGCGATACATCCCAGAAACTAGCTAATTTATTCCATAATTCCCAAACAACAGCGCAAGAAATAAATAAATGCTGCACCGTTTCCTCCTTATCCTTACATAAAGGACAAAGAATGTCGGCTCCTAGTGGTAAACCTCTCTTAACCAACTAAGCTTTGACTGCTACTTTCTGATGAGCAAGCTGCCAGAGGAATGCTTCCACCCGAGGTGGAGCAAATCCCAGCCAAACCCCTTTTGACCACAAAGTATTACTCCCCAACACAGGGCCAAGAGAACTTCTGCATGATTTTGTCGAAAACAGACCATCTCCACTTGCAGTCCACGATAGAAAATCTTCCACCAACTCTGAAATTTGATATAGCTATGTATGTAGTAATACCTCTTCTGTTTTTAAAAAAAATATCTTCTGGGAATTTGCTTGCATAAATGCAAAAGGAGTGACCTTTTGTAGATATTCTACCTATCCTTTTTTTCTTTAAGTTTCAAAGGTTATGGGCTATCCGTCCTCTGTTGGACTATTGCAGTAGTGCTAATGAAGTGGAACTACTTTATTAACCAGTTATTTTTTTCAGACAACCAGATTTAAGCTCCTTTCATTAAGAAAACTGAAATATTATATGGATCTAGTTATAAATATTGTTGACCTACTCTACCAACTTGTATGTTTGATACTAAGATGCTTGCCAATTGTTCTAAATAAAATTCTATTGTTGAATTTCAGTGATATGGAGAGCTCAAATGTTATTCTTACCGCTGGACATGGAGGTCTTAAGTTTTGGGACATACGGTAACCTTGATACCATGTTCTGGTTTAAGTTTAATCGCTTTGTATCTCAGTTATCTTTGAGCTTTTGCTTTTCATGCACTCATGTTCTCTATGCATTCATTTTAGTTGCAGATGCTTGGTGGCTGTATTCTGTTTCTTAAGATTGAACTCTTTGACTGTATAGTTCTAAAGTTTAATTATACTTTAAAATCTTCTTAGAGATGTCATATTGCATGACATATCTCAATAGTGTAGACTGAGTTTATGTTTACTATTTAATTTACTATTATGTAGTCCATTTTCTTTAGGATTCTTTCTAAGTGCCATGAAATTTCATGATTTATTGAAGCTTACAGACATAGGAGGTTCAGCTGAAGTTACAGTGTTTATCAAAGGAGAAGTCAAACTTGTTTTTATTTTTCTTGGTACTAGTGAATGGAGTTTGCTCAATTCTCTTTTCTTCAAATTCATTTTTACCTTCACTTGTAAATCACCAGAAATTAGAGTTTTAGATATTGTTGAGTGTATGATAAAGGAACTTGCATGTCTAGTGTTGTCAAGGGTTTGAGGCGCTTTTGTTGTCTGCCGCTAAGGCACTTGCCTTGCCAACAATGGGCTTTTGTACTGCATTTTATGCATTTTAGTTGAAGTAATTAGAAATTGGGATGAAAAATTGTGCACATCAATTTAATGCTTAACTTGATCTATACATTTACTTGATTTTCTTTTGTTGCTGGCATAAGTGGGAACATGTAATTTTTTGCATAGTCAAGAGTTTAAGTTCAGTTGGAACCAGAGTGATTTCCTATTCCCCTTTAAGTTCTGAATTATTGAAAGTTTAAACTTAGTACTTCTAAAAGAATTGTAATTCTCTAGGATTTTTTTTTGATAGGATAATTCTCTAGGATTTCATTTAGGACACATTTGCATATGTCAATTGTTAAATAGTTTTCCATTGTTTTAAGGGGATGGACCTGAATTGTGGGTTCTTTTCAACTATAAGCACTCAGAACTTGTTCTCTCAGTATGTTCTGTTGTGCATGTATATATATATATATATATATGGATGTTGTATGGAGCATTTATCTCTAAGAATTTAACCTGTTCAAGATGCTATGGTAGCATGATTACATGTTCCTTAAGAGCTTTTGTTTGACGGTGTTTGCAGTGATCCATTTCTTCCGTTGTGGGATGTCCATCCGGCACCAAAGTTCATGTATAGTGTGGATTGGCCACTAGAGCCAAGGTAGGCTGTACACGACGGCTTTCCTATTGTTTTCATTGGAATTGATGGTCTTCTCTTTGACTAAAATTGAGGCAACCTTTCATGTCTGTAGATGTGTTATGATATCCTTTGACGATGGAACAATGAGACTTCTCAGCTTAGTTCATGCAGCATGTGACGTTCCTGCAACTGGAAAACCTTATGGGGGGACCAAGCAACAAGGACTGCACCTTTATAATTGTTCATCATTTGCCATCTGGAGTGTACAAGTGTCACGGTTAACAGGTATGCTAGGTAGTGATTTACTGATTTTCCTATGACTAACTTTTTCTTTTATTATATTAAAATTTGCAGTGGACCTAATATGCTATTGGGGGGGGGAATCTAGTTATGCGGGAATTGGAAAACCTTTTAAAGAATAAGATATGCTAAAAAAAGATCATATATGGTCAATACTGTTTGACTAGAAATGTGTTAAAAATTCTGTAGGCATAGAGTAGAAAGAATTTTTGCTCCAACCTACAAGGTGGATGCATAAGGAAACCGTTCTACATGTTACAAACTATTTTTTTCCAGTTTGTGAGGTGCTAATTATGGATCTAGTATTTTTGCTGCAGCATTATATGTCTATTTAGATAGTCATAATCACCCCATCTTTTTGTCTTTGCATGTCACTACAAATGTTAATCGGTGGTTACAAATGTAATATTTGACGATTAAAGTGGGATGATGAACAACTTGATTTTTGAATTGTGATTTCCAAATTTAGATTGACCGGTGAATATAAATATTAGGTATGGTAGCATATTGCGGTGCAGATGGTACTACAACGTGCTTTCAGGTGTGTTGGTTTACCTTTATCTTCAATGCTTGCTTTAATTTTCCCCTGAGAAACTTTGTTTCCAAGATGTAAATATTTTCTTTTCTTTCTTTCTCCAATGAGAATTCGTCTTGGAGACTGGTCGATAATTATTTATACGAGTTATTTCTGTTACTTAACCTTCTGCATTTCTCTAGCAAATCATGTTACTTCCACTTCTTAAGGTACAGAGTCTTGGCCCTTAGTTTCAGTCAACTGACAGTGTAAAATTATTCGAGTGCTTTCATTGATGCTGCATATCAAGAAATTGTGTGATACCACTGCTTGAAATTTCCTTCAAAATAAAATTTAAAACTGCTTGTCTTATATCCGTAGGCTGCTTCTTCGAGTTTTGGCATCGATTGATATTTGATACTATTGTTTTTGTAACCAGCTTAACTCAAAAGCAGTGGAGAAAGATTTTTCACGAAATCGAACCCCGCATTTTGCATGTGGATCCTTTACCGAGGATGATTCCGCTGTAATAGTTAACACTCCATTACCAAATATTCCTCTGCCGTTGAAGAAGCCGAATAATGATTGTGTGGATGAAAAAAGATCCATGCGTGCCTTCTTAACCAAGTCAAACCCGGGAAAAAATGTAAAGGAGAGGAAGACGATAGATCCATCTTCTAATAAACAAACTTTAGGTAAGCTTTCACAACTGAATTGCCAATCCGATATTCCGAGTTTGTTTCGTAACAGCCAGCGTGTTCTTAAATATGTTGCAGCACTTTGTGATGGCCGGAAGGCAATGGCTCCATCTTCTGATAAACAAATTTTAGGTAAGCTTTCACAACTGAGTTGCCTATCAGATGTTCCAAGTTTCTTTTGTAACAGCCAGCTTGTTCTTAAATCTATTGCAGCACTTCGCGATGGCAACTATCCCGGTGTGGAATCCGAACCCGAGGAAACATTGGCAACTCTGAAAACCAAAATGAAACAAAAATCTAAGAGTGACGGCAAGAAGAAAGCCGACACTGATCAAGCATTGGCAGTGAGAACCGAAGAACCAATGCAAAAAGAGAAAGAACGAACCGGAAAAGAAGCTGAAAGCGGAGTCGAGGCATTCCCTCCCAAGATTGTGGCGATTCATAGAGTGAGATGGAACATGAACAAAGGCAGCGAGAGATGGTTGTGCTACGGAGGAGCAGCCGGAATCGTTCGATGTCAAGAGATAAACATTCCGGCAACGCCTATTCGTAAAGGTAGAGGTAGAGGTAAAGCTAAGTCGAGCATAGTGTGCATGCCATGAAAGTGGAATTAGTTTATGAATAAGCATATTGACCTTTTCTGGAATTAGATTGCCAAACATTTATTACAATTTTAAACTTGTTTTCGCTCGGATTATTGTATATATAAATTATAATATATTAAACTATTTTAACATATTTATCAACAATTTAAAATAAAAATTATAATGAAACTTTTTGAAACCTAATAATAAGAAATTTTATTATTGCAGTCGTCTTAAATTAATAATATTGAATTTACCTTATAACAAATTATTGATATATTATTTAAAATTAAACATTAAATGTTATTAGAGTGTTTGATAAAAATTAAATTTAAATAAAGAATAATTTAAAAATAATTAAAATATTTTTCATTTGATAAATTTCACATTAAATAGTAAATAGATCATTAGCTATATATAGTTTTTCACACATTTTAATAAGAAAATCTATAAGACGATTTCCTTTTTATTTTATTAAATATATTTTAAATTATTATTTTTAATAAATTGAATTTTTAATTAATTACTAAAACATGACCTAATTGTTTTTTTAAAAATCGAACCTAAATTATTAAATTTCAATATTTCATTCGGCCTAACAGAATAAATTTCTTTAATATTTTTTTTAGCCCATTATCAAATGTCAATTTCACAATTCACTCCTCCCAACTAAAATACACGACAAACGGCCCCACCATCTTATGTGTCTACTTAATATCTTGTCGAAATCCACCACGCGCCTGTTTCAACTCTTCTTTTATAAAAGGAAAAAAGCATTAGAGGTCCTTGTACTTTTAAAAATAACCAATTTGATCCTCATATATTTCTCTCTCAATGTGACTATCTAACTCCACAAAAATGTCAAATGTGATATTTTGACCAATGTTTTTTATCGTTGACTATTACGGTACTGACGTGACAATTCAAAATACTAACGTGACGGTCCACGATTATTGACGTGACAGTTCATGATGATTAATAATGTGACAGATAACATAGTAGATGAGCTAAATTGATAACTCAAATATGACAGATGGACTGTCACGTTAGTACTGTGGACGACCACTTCAACACCATGAACTATTATGTCAGCACCGTAATAGTCAAACGATGAAAAAGTTGGTCAAAGGATCATATTGAATTTGTTTTCTGAGTTAGAGAACCACATTAAAATAAAAAAATAATCTGAGGGTCAGATTAATTTTGTATCAAAAGTACATGAATTTCTAATGATTTTTTACCTTTATAAAAGCAGGTATTTCAAACGTTACCGGGAACAGTTTTCTCTTTTTCCTATTTCGATCGTTGACTCACGCTCCATAAAATGTCGCGTGAATCCGTTTCCCGGGGAAAAAAAATATTAAAAAGGCAAAATAAAAGTAGGACATGTTTTGCTTAATTAATGATAGATTAGCGAAATTTAATCCCTCCGAAGAGTTCTTCTCTGTTTTGCTTAATAACATAAAAGCAAAAATAAAATAGAAGCTTTAAAATATATATAACGCATATCTCAAGTAAAGGGCAAAGAGTAGAGGCCGCTGTGAAGTAGCAATAAGTGCTGCCTCCACTGCTTTTTATGATACAAGTAAAATATTGGTATATTTATTCATATTTTACATCTATATCTGTGTGTGAGCTATTTGCTATTTTGTTTCGCTTTGATAAATTTTGAAAAAAAGAAGAAATTGTCGATCTCTGTGTAACGGCTACTTTGAGCGTGTTGTTGAAGAAGCGAAGACTTGAGATAAGGGGTGGGGGGTGGGGGAAGGGTGTGATTTGATTCAGTTTTTGAAGGGAAGTAAAAGAAATGGATTACAACTATGATCGGTAAAGTTCTTTTTTTCTCTTTGATGCCATTTGGTTTTAAAATGCATGATATTGTTGTTGTTGTTTTAATTTATGATAATTTATTTGCATTTTTTTAATCAACGCTGGTTTTTCTGAAATGGGTTTCTGCTTGATTTTGAGGGTTTTTTTTTAATGGATAAACTGCTGCAATTGGGGAATGGGTGTGCCTGGATTTTGTTTTTCGTTTTGATTTTTGCAATGGGATTTCTTGGATTTGTATTTTGCACAGTAACTAAAATGCTAAATTGAAAGAAAGTGTGGGCTCTATTAAGATGGTGGGTCACTGTGTTTTTTAATTTGTTCTTTTGCTTTTTGATTAGCTTAAGCACCAGTGCTGAAAAACATATAGATTATGATCCCTTTTCCTTGTTGTTAGATCTAAATAGTACAGGTGTCCTTTTTATTATTCTATATGTGAAATTAATTTGGTTCATAAATAGTTATTGGATCCAATGCTTCAATTTTGCTTCTTTCCTTTTCCTTTTTGTTGTTTTACTTGTGAGGTGGAAATGTTTACTGTTTTTGATGTTGTTTATCCTGATAATTTCCTTTCCTTTCCCCCCCTTATGCCTATTTAGTTCTATAGATTATGTTGGTGATTTAATTCCTAATTTATTTAGAAACCTAATTTAGGATTTGCTTAATGCTGATAAAATGGAGCATGGATTCCATTTTGGTAAAGTATTGGATTGATTCATTGTGAAGTCTCTGCATTGGCTCTTCGCTTTGGCCTGATTGTTTTACTCATTTTTCTTTATTGTTTCGTCTGTGACAGAGAACCTTGGAATTGGCATGGGGAGAATCATGGTGTTCAAAATAACAACGATTTTGGTAATTTATTACGTGAGACTATCTAGTTAATATATTCGAGGCAGGAAAGTGAATAAAAAGTTTCAAGACAGTAGGTTACTGATGTCTGAATAATATCCGAGCAGGTGCCTCCCAACGTGCATTGACTCAAGTGACCTTGAACGAGGAAGACCTTTCCTACATGTTTGATGAAACAACCCCTGTTAAGGAATGTGGGGATCTGTCATATCACATTTCTCTTAATGGTAATTTTTGTTGCTTGAAATTCTTTGAACTTATTGTCATTATAACACCTGTTCTTGTCTGTCGAAGTAATAACTAATAAGACCGTGACCTTCAGATAATATGAGCAAGGAATCAGAGGATAAAAGGGAGATTGCCTCACAATTTAAAAGGCGTAGAATGCTTCAATTTGACACTCATGCAGCTGATACTTCCCTTATGTGTGACGAGATGCCAATGCCATCTGCTTTCCTAAAATCAAGGGTGACTGCTAGATAACTCTTCTAATCCTGTGATTGTGAACATGAAAGAAGCATGTCGTATTGTTCAAACTTCTATCATTCAACTTTTTTTTGAATAGCTGACATTGATCGATATACTAGATGTGAATCATGATGCTAGAAACGTATTAGTTGATCATAGTTATTTTGTATTGCAGAATGAAAACTCTTTATAAGGATTATTTTGTGCTTCCATTTACTGGCTAAAGGTTGCTGATATTTTCAAAATTTTATCGTTTCTACAATTAGTTAGTTATTTAAAACAAGTTCTCGACTTCTGCCTATTCCAGTGGCCTTTGAAAAATATGCATGATAGTTCTATGCTGGTTCCTTTCTCAAGAGATGAAGTCATATTTATGAATATTGGTTAAAATGTACCATGGTTATCGATATGTCTTATTTATTTATTTCTTCCTTCCATACTTAGGAAAGGGATAATTTGATTGAAGAGGTCTTACCCGATGCATCTGAGTGGGTTACTGGATTTTCAGGTTTCTAATGCAAGCCCGTCTTCATATAAATAATAATGAACTTGATAAAAAAACACAGTTGGATTTTAACCATAAGGAAATATTGCAGAAAATGCATCAGCCTCTAGTCACGATGGCCTAGATCAATCATGTGAAGGATGGCTTGCTGAATATTTTAATGATGCGGAGATGCTTCTTAGCTCTGATGATATGTATGCTTCAATGGACTTTCAATGTTTTTGTTTGATCATGCTATGAATGTGTTCTGATTGCTTTATACTGTGAGATTCAGGAATCTTGCTGGTGCATCTGATGTTCAAATTGATACTTCAGGTACGAATTCTTCTGAATTTATTGTATATAGTGTGCTGTTCTTATCTTCATTTAAAAAAAATATTACGTGTCATTGTTCCATTACTCTCTCTCTAAGTTGCTCATTTTCTTAACTTTATGATGAAATTTGACTCTCTGTTCATAGAGTTCTGCCTTCCCCAACCTGAGTCTGGGGTTGATGCTGTTCAAAAGGAGGCAACTCGAACTCTTGGAAATGTTGTGCTCAAAGGTACCCTTACCCTCTTGTTTATTTCTATTGAATTCCGTTTCCTTTCGATTGTCAGTATCAACCTATCTTTTCCCTGCCGTTGTTCTATAGGATAAGAATAAGCTTGTATGATTTATGTCTCTATTTCAATTTACCATGTCCTTTAAGCAGGACTCAATGACATTTTACCTCTAACTGAGATTAACACTGTCAGATCGGATTTTTTTATAAATCATTTAGGTAGGAAGTCTTTCATTCGGATGCCCCCTATGGAAGCATCATCTGTTGCCTACCCATTTGCTTTCATTAAACCGTGTGGTTTCCACGGAGATGTTACCCTGAAGGATATAAACCAGCGAATCCAAACTCCACCACCATCTAAATCAAAACAAAGCAATGAAGATCTTGCTGATGCTTTCCCAACTTCTGCTTTTTCTGGGAAGCCTGTTGTTGGCAAAACTAAAATTCGTACCGAAGGAGGAAAAGGCAGCATCACAATTATGAGAACCAAAGGCTGAGTAGATAAGTGTTCTATCTTGGTTAAATCTTGGTGGTTCATGTATCATTCCTGGGTCGGACACTGCATTTTTTGTCGGACTCCTGGAATTCATAAAACACATCAAAGTGTTTTATGTTTTCAAATAGTAGAACTCTATAGGTCTAGTATTTATCTAATATGTGCTTTATATTTTGAGGCTATAAATGACGTGATATTCGAGATCCGCTTATTTTCTTCCCGTGTTGGAAAAGACCTAGTCAATGCTTTCACCAGAAGAATTTGTGTATTCACATATTATATCTAGATATGTTTTAGAAGCATCAGATTTGTAAGATTGTGCGTCTCTCTCTCTCTAAGTCGATTACATTATTATATTGATGT